CTTAAGTCCTGGAGCAGCCCTTTAAATTCATAGTCTATCTTCTTCCAAATTAACTGGTCTTTGCAGACAAGCCCTCGGCTAACTTATTCTAAAACTCTAAAATAGACAAACCAGTGTCAACGCCAATGCCCAAGGGCCTAACTCAGCCAGCTTTTCACATTAAAGGCATTATGCTTCCTCTGCATCAGACTTTTAAAATGTATCAGCTAATATGTGCTAATGACACACATTTAAACCCTAGTCTAGACAAAGCCTGTGCGATTGCCCTCTGAATGCTTGATGTGATCAGCTAACATCCTGACAGCAGACCTGATTACCCCATGAAAGGCTATGAACATCATAGAGTTATCCAGACTTTCCCCATAGCAAAGAAAAAGGTTGTGCTTCAAAATATCCTTGTAGGGTGAGATCTTTGTCCTTGCACAAACAAACCAGTAAGTGGGGATGGAAAAGCCAGGCTTTAGTGGACAGAAACACATCTGTGTAGAGGAATCTGTTACACCAGAAGGATCAAGAAAATGATGCAACAGTGACTGGCCTGGGTTACTGCTTTGACATTTGTGATCAGCTAATAGTCTAGAGGCAGAGCTGAATTGGAGCAGAGATGTGACTGCATGTCTGCATACTGTAAACTGATCAGTTTAATTCACGTAACATGTTTTCTCTGCACATCTTAAAGCAGGTTTTGAAAAATTGGAAAGGATATTAAAAAAAAGGATGCAATGATTTGAGGAAGAGAAGATAAATGCTTTATAGCAAAACACTTAAAAGCTCAATCTGTTTAGTTTATGAGAAAGAATAGTGGGAAGTAAATAGATTACAATATATAAATATCTTCATGGGGAAAATATGCAGCATTAAAGGGTTTTTTAATCTTGTAGAGAAAAGCAAAACTGGTTAGAAGAAACCAGAAAAAAATGAAGTTAGGAAGTTAGGACACAATTTTGACAAAGCTAATGTCTTCTAACAAAATATCAAGAAAAAATACTTTTTTCATCACTTCATAACCTTGATTATGACTGGATGCTTCTATGGGAGGTATATTTTAATCCACTATATGCTATTGAGATCACTACAGAATTAACTGTAACACGGTTAAGATATGAGCAGTCCAAGCTGATGATTTCTTTTAGGCTTCAATGTTATGTATATGAAATTACATGAATTGGCAAGTACTTAGCAGCCAGAAGTCTGAGCAAATGGCTATATGCCTGTGGAAGAGGAATGCTCTCTGCTAAGTTTAAAGGAATATACATTTTTTCCTCTTTGTGCCCCCAAATATCCCTGTTGAGAAGGAGGACTGAAGTCAGCCCATTAAGTCTGAACAGGCACAATGTTACCCAGCGTGAGGAAAAACACTTAACCAAAGGTCCTCCTGAGCACATCTATTTGAATTTGCTTACAAATTACAATTTCCATGAATGCAATGTGAGCTCAAGAGATGAGACTGGTATGCAAGTACAAGTTATGGAAGAAAGTTATGACAGTGTCATCTCTTTTCAAATAGGGACTAGTGGAGCAGAAGATTTGGTTTCTAACTGCCCAAACATGCTGAGGTTATTTTGCAGGGAGTTGTAAGCTCAGTGGGCCTGAATTCCTGTTCTCCCAGGAAAGCTTTTTAGACCATAGTCAGCTTTGAATTGTCTTGGAGTGATGGCAGAGTTGACTTTCATCACTTTAGAGAGCCAGCCTCTTACTGCACTCTATCTGATTCCCACTTGAAGGCTTAAGAGATACACTGTGCAAAACCTCTTGGACAAATGTGCATTTCATCCTGCACATTCAAGGGAGATGAGTGTAACCTCTCTGTTAAACTGCATTCTATGTCCACAAGAGATGTTTTATATTTGATCATGTTTGATGAAGACTGCATTATCCCCATCACTGAAAAGGAAATTTTGAATATCTTCTTGTACTATTGCACCTAGTGGAGTCAATTGTTTATTGAAGTGTGTGTATTTCGGGCAAGACTTCCATGTTCAGGACTACCAGAGCATCACATTCACTTAAGAAACAGCTATACTGAGATTTAGAGAAAATCCTGTATCAAGTTATGCTACATTTAGCTACACATCATGTGCAGCTGTGGAATAAATGCTGTGGAATCTAAAGCTAGAAAATATATTGTAAGAGCATTCTGGGTGGTTTGTTTAAGTCAAAATTCTGGTCTTGTAAGCATTGTTTTATTTAAAATCAGAATGGCTTTGACAGTCAGTGTTAGTATGACAAAAATGTTCTGCACTGATGTCAGTTGATTTGGGGAATGAGGTTTGGGAAGAGGAGGATAGAAAGGAATTAGTTGGTTTGGGAGACATTCTTTTTGTCCCTCCAGCATCAGTATTAGCCAGGTCTGATATGGGACTGATGTCCATTTTGTCCACTTAACAAATGCATTTCAGAGTTAGGCATTTGAAGTGTGAGGCTTTTATCATTTTTTTCTGTGAAAGAGTACAAGTTGTCCCTTGTCTTGTCATTCTGGTTATTCTGCTAAGATCTGCACCTTTTTACCTTAACTTTTCCCTCAAAAGGAAGTAGAAAGAGCAGCAAAATCTTTCTGGTTCTGTTCTGTAGTCAATCTCCTCTGGAAGCAACTGCTGAGATACTGAAATACTGCCTATAGAGCAGGACACTTTCTGGAGGAAGCCATTCCTTCTTAACGAGGCTCTCTGAGATCACAGTCAGTGTAACTGCTTAGACTGCAAAAGCTGACTATTTACTTACTGAGTTAAAAGTCAATGTTTCAAAAACAAGTCAACTGAAAAAGCACCCAAATCAGGAAATTACGCTTACAGGGTGTAGATCATCTGACTACCTGATGATGTGATGTCTCTTTAGCCTTTCCTTGTTTGTTTGTTGGTTTTTTCCCCACTACTGTTGTGAAGATCCTACTAACTGTAAATGGCTTTGAGTCTTTGCCAAATGTGCATCTTCCTTCAACCTGACTCAGCTGGAGAAACTTGCTTTAGGTCTTGTGGCAACCTATGATGATCATCTAGTCCAACTACCTGACCACTTCAGAGCTGAGTTAAATCACGTTATTGAGGGCATTGTGAAAATGCCTGTTAAACACTGACAGCCTTGGGGCATTGATCACCTCCTAGGAAGCCTGTTCGTTTTTGACCACCATCTCAGTAAAGAAATGCTTCCTAATGTCCAGTCTTGATTAGTCTTTCAAAGGTGGCTTCCTTGTTATTTATCATCTCATTGTATCAACCTCAGGACTCCCAGCTGGATACCCCAAGACTCATCATAAGGACATTTCAACAGCTAAATGATGGAGCTGAACATTTTATTTCAGTTTCTCCCAAAGCCACTGAGCACACAAAGTTAAAGTCAGTTCTGGGACCCAACCTGATACTCATGAGTATGTTCCAGAGTTTCAAGGTCTCAGTTGATGTCTTACAGTACTGCAGGATGCCTCCAAGCTATTCATACTTAAAGTTTAGATCTTCTTTGGTGATATCTAAAAGCCAGGGAAGGGGGTTTCTGTTTAGCTGGTACTACACAAGAACTGAAAAATTACTCTTCTAAGGCTTTGATGGTCTAGACAGACATGAATAACCTGGGAAGAAAAAAAAAGAAAAAACACATGCAGAGCAAATATGGTGATTAGATTACAAAGTACTGTCAGAATTAAGATGTTTTGTGACTATCTGGGAATGGAGTTGTTTCGTGGGAGAGGAGATGAGCTAAAGGGAAAACAAGGACATGACAAAATGGAGGGCAGAATATAATAAGTATGGCATGGAGCAAGCTGAGGTGAAAGTTTTCTCACATGTCTTTTCCCCAGCCTAAGTGCCATCCATACACATTTATGTTACAGTACTTAAATAAGAGCTGCCAGACCTAACACAGTTTTGCCTGAATTATTCATAAAGCTGTATGACCACAAGAGGAGAAGGAGTTCTTACTTGGATTAAACTAGTTAATTTTAATTAAAATATCTGGCAAATAATTACTAGTTTCACTCGAGTAGTTTACCTTAACACAGGTTCTATAGCAACCATAATAGAGATGTACTTTTTTAAATAAAATGTTGTGTGTACTGCCTAAAAGAATAATTTTCTCCCATAATAGTCCTGCTAAGCCTCTTTCTTTCCTTCTTTTGTACACAATTAGCATTTCATTTACTATTTCTATATTCCAGGTAGATGCCAGAATAGGCCCTATAGTACTAATCACTAAGAGCCATGTAGGAGAGTTCCTTCATTACTAATTGCATTTGACACTAATTGCTGTTTATTGAAGAACCTGAGTGAAACATCACTCTGACATGTATCTGGATGCTCCTTGCATCTGTTTCAATTGGCCATATTTCCTGCTGCTGGTGCCCATTTTATAGGGCCAACTCTCTTGTGACTGGCTCCTGTCTACACAGAGGTGTGACTTGGAGGGGGCTGCTTTCTCTTATCCAGCACCATGCTAAATGTTGCATTGTTGTAGTTCTTTAAAGTAGGGCTCTGGGAGTGGCAATTCCTTCTTTACTCTCCTGGCTTGGTTGATACACCAAATTCAGCTTTTGCTGGCTCTTACAGGAGTGCTGGAGTACTCTATGTTTGACAGTAAAACTTATATGATAATTTGTATCACTGTGTCTAGTTAAAGGACATCACCAAAAGTGCTTTATTCCTTTCCTTGGCTGGCCAAAGGCCAGATGCATTAGCTGGGAGTTAGAAGAAGTAACTAATTCAATGCATCACCATTGACCAACAGAACACTGAAAATGAGAAGTTTGAAGGTGCTAATTTTTAACCTGCCTGCTTGTCAAAAAACCCCAAATGAAATCTGTACCACAAAGGTCCATGTTGGTACTTCCTCTACCAATATTTTGAATTATTTTAATCTTAGCTAATATTGCAAGCTCTTTTTTTGATTCATAATTAATTTAACCAAGTTACCTGCAACTAATAATTCAAGTAGGAGAAAGATAAGTGCCAGGAGACTCTTACTGGATTGATTAAAATTAAAAAAAATCAGAAGAAAAACTTATACAAACAATATGGTAGAAGTCATATTTATTGATAAAAATTAATATATCTGCTATAAAATTTGTAACAGTAATGCAACTGAATATTTATTTTGATGCATAAACCTGAATGTTACATACCAAATACAATACAGTAACACTGGTTTCCTCCTTATTTACATGTTTATGAAAATTGATATGCAATCCATGTTAAAAGAACTTGTAATGGAGAATAGTTACATTAGAAAAATAATATTCTTGATAAAGCATTCTTGAGGACTCCAATCACATTTTCAGGCCTCTTTCAATAAGGCAAAAATCCCTGGTACAGCATATAACTTAATTTACAAAATACAATAACTTCAGACACATCTTCAAGTTTTCTTTTGGTATGCTTTTCCTCACTGTAAAATTACTCAATTTTCTTACTAAACAGAAAGAACTTTCTATAACAAAACTTAATGAGTTCTAGTACATATTACATATACATCGCTGCAGCTTAGCGACCATAACTGGGCAATCTTTCTCCTTAACTGTTTGCTCAATGAGCTTTTCTTAGATGTAGGACATGTAGTATTTTGAAATCATTATGACTGTGGTAACTTTCTTCAGTTTTCATAGGAAACAATCTGTCACATTTCGAAACTTTTTTTTTAAATTTTATTTTATTTTAGGAACTGGTGCACAACTACATTTCCACTCACAAGAGAACGTCACAAATGTAACTAAAATTAGGCTTGGATAACTTTGAAAACATACTACTATGTGTCCAAACCCAAATTTCTTACTTTAGTACTTTGTAACCCTGCCATGCTCTAGGAATTCTTCTTCTGCATAGCTTCATTACTAGTCACAGTCAGATAGTTTTAATTCCTTCAAAGGCACAAAACTTCCACCTCTTTTCCAGTGTTGCTCCTACACCAGTAAATTCTTGTTTAAACATGCGTGGCAGTCTCATCAAAAGCATTTCTATCTCATTTGCAGAGATCTGAGAAAGAAACAAAGGCAAAATGAAAGTGAGAAAGCTGCCCTGTACATTGGAAAGAGGACACATTGAGGGGGGAGGTGAGAGGCGAAATCCAAGGCAGATGTAAACAGCCAACCATTATTACTTTTTTTAACCTTAGTCTGACATGGATTTCCAGACTCTAAAGCAAGTGTAGATTCCTTGCAGGAATGATTCTGCTTTTTAAAGTGGCATCCCACTGTAAAACAATGACAACTGTCATGTTGGGGCTGTGGCCACATAGTGTGGTATGAAGTCCATCTAAGAACTACAATTGTAGGTATACTCGTGAGGAGGGGGAAGCAGATGGGACCTTATTCTTTCTTCTCAGCCTATGACCTCTTCTCCCAGCTCCATCAGTTCTTCTCTTCCAAAAAACCCTTTAATCAGCTTCATTTTGTTACTTAGGCTGACAATTCATGGAGCCATCTTATCCCAGTTTTATCCACTTCAGCAGCCCCAGATAACCAAGCAGTAAAGTTCCCGATTCTGCATTGGTCACGATGTTTTTATGGTTTTGAAACGTTAATGATTGGTCACCTTCCTTGGGAAAGATGCTCCTGTTACAGAAAATACTTTCATGAGAGCAGCCTTCTGGGATAATCAGTAGAGAAGTCAAGAAATGAACATTCATGGGAAATGAACCATTTTATCCTACTGCTACTGCTCCTAAAGTGTAGCCATGAAAGGAACAGGAAAGAATACTATGGGTGCTGCCTGTTATCCACAGGTATCTCCATGGTTTGATAGGCCTCTCTGGCAATAATGCTGTTTCTGTTTATTTATATTAGTAGGAACCTTACACAGTGAAAACTATTTTTAAAAAAAGAGTATATAAACATAAATGTGCTAATTATACCGCAGTACACCCAAGGGAGGAGAGAAACTATCACCTCTTATTTTCCTGAAGAGGTTAGTACAGCAAAAAGATTAAATGATTTGTTAAAGGTGGCACCAAAAATTAGTGTTGGAGGCAGTCTAGAGCCCCAGAGTGATCAGATCCATCTCTAAAGTACTCACATAGCAGTAATGGATATCTAGTTACTTTTAGGCAATGTAACTGAGCTCTATACTAAGCCCTCAGCCTACATGGGTATGCTGACCTTATCATTCCTGTTCAGGTGAGGAATGACAGGCTAACCATGGAAAGTAATTGAAATTCATCTCTGAGATTGCATCTCTGGATCGTGCTATTAAAAAGTAATTTGTTGCTACAGGCAGTTACTTCCAAAATAAACCAGTGAGGTCAAATTTTGCAGCTTGTGTTTACTATGCAGCAGGTAGGTTCAGTGGTAGCTGCAGGGGCTGCTACATTGGCACCTTCGAGAGATTGAGACAATGCTCTTTCCATGAAGGCTTTGTTTGCAATTTAAGGGTTAGATCCTGGCAGCCTCACAGAAGCCGATGTTATTCACGTGAGTAGAAATTCAAGGACAGAGCTCACAGTCATGCATGAGAAGGGACTGCAGCAGTGCGGCGGGAGAAAGTTGAAGAGCTCTGTGGGCAGAAGCAATGAGCAACAGGGCCGGAGCCCAAGAAGTCATTATTTTAAATGACTGCTGTTATCACTCGAGATACAGAGCTGGAGGGGTCATCCAGGGGAAAACGCAGTTGAAACTTAGCCAAACACTGTGTCAGGAAGGACTTGAAAGATAACTGAGGAGATTGAGCAGACTGGGTGCTGCAGGAGCTGGGGTCAAGATGAAGGAAGGTATACATGTGGCAGAGATAGGGAGCAGAGAAGAGGAATGGCTGTAGGTGTGAAGCTATAGCTGCATCAGGTCTTGATAAAACCAGGCATTTGAAAAAGGGTTGAAATTCACCAGTTTCTCACCTATTTCTGCCATCTTCATCCCCTACTCCCTTTTCATTGTGGGTGGCAGTGGACTGTAAAGTACTAGCACACCTGAGTTGCCACAGTCTGAAAACAATGCCTAAGAACTTCATCATCCTTCCTCACTCATCAATGCAACTTATCTTATTTTCAGTGGGCTTCTAGCTCAGGATCTCCTCTGCTTTTAGCTCTACACTTTTTCATGAAAACAGAGGAAGGATCCTCCCAAGGCACAAAGCAGCCCATCAAAGCAGTTGGAAGGTGATCCTAGGTATGGGCTGGAGGAGCTGTTCAGGAACAAAATACTACCAGGATCAAAGGAGTTGTGTTGCAAGAACATCTGGGAAACCACCATCATCCAGCTATTGGTAGATGTGGGTCAGAGCTGTGGCTGACCACAGGGTGACCCCTGCATCTGCTAAGTGTTCCATGCAGCTTAGTATCCTGCAGAGCTGCTGTTTAGCACTTCACCTGAGTAGCATTCACCTGAACAAAGGTGGCTGTTTCACAGGTCAGCTTCTTACCTTTGACTTGCTTAATATTCAGTGCAGAGAAATATGTTCTTTTGGGGCTTGATTTCATCTTATCCTACAGCAAATATTAAAAAGTCAAAGAATCTTATCTTGCAGGTATGTATTGACTACGGACTGTAAGAACCGATGCACTGAACACTCTGCACACTGTTGTATGTTGGCCTCACCTTTATCTTGGCCACAGTTTCCCTGAATTTAGCAATAGGATCACCCAACTCCTTTATGAGGTTCTTTCTGTTTCCACATGGAGACAAAGGACATGCTTCATGGTTCATTCATGTGTTCTTGAAAGTTCCAGTTCAGTGTGACCCATGACAAACAACTTTTCAAAGAATGAGGAACCATCTCCAAAACCTCTGTGCAGTTTGATGGTCATGGCTACACCTGTGTCTTGTCCTGCTTTCTTTCTCTTCAGCTATATTTCAGAAACATGTATCATAAATCAGCTGCAAGCCTCTGCCATTTAAAGCCCTGCCTTTCTTTGCCACAAAGAATAGCTAAGCAGTGCAAGGCAAAGACCTCAACAGAAGCACGTGCACTGTAATTTGCAAATGAATAAAGACTGCAAACCCCCAAGCCCCATATCCCATTATCTTTCTAATGGAAACGCATGAAAAGTTTAACCTGCAGTAAAGAATAATACAATATTTCTATAGAGAAAACAGATTTTGATTAAATTTTTTTACCCTAGAGTCCAACTGCTGCATATAAGACCAAAGGTATTCTATATTGGCTCCAAAAGGGTGGACGTGAAGAAATGTGGATATGATACCTGTATTAAAAACAAATGCACACAAAGTATTTAAATTACTATATCATTAAAACAAGCAAAATAATTCTGAATAGTCTGTTCTTGCAGGTTTTTCCATATAAATTGTGAAGCTTATTTTTCTTGCACAACCCAGTAAACATAACAACGTGTCACATTTTTAATACAGTCATAGTAACATGGTAAATACAATAGCTCATCTTCAGGAGTGAGAGCAGTTAGCAAGTAAGTGACCAAGATAATATACTGATGAATAAAGGAATTTCTAAACAAAGCCTTGCTGGAAGCACTTCAACTACCAATTTTATGCTTGATTTACCAATATAAAATTGTGGATATTGTAATAGTAAAATTATTGCTTTTTTCCCCTTCACTGGATGCTCTGTTGTGAAAACGTTTCATATAATTGTGCCAGAAACCTTGCTCCCCTCAAATTTTTATAGTAATTATGCTGATGCGGGTTATGACAAGTGTTTAATCTGAATTACCCTTAAGTGCCACTGAAGAAAACACAAATCCTTTATGACATATTTGCTTATTTACTTTCTCTTAAAAGAGAGATTGTTCTGTCTATCTTCACTGTTATTTCAGGATAATTGTAAAAGGTATGGGAGTGAAAGTGGCTTAGAAGGAGTCAGAATCTAAGTCTAGAGATTTTTTTCTGCAGTGAAAATCAGTGACAGCATAATAATGATGACCAGAGAAAACAAGATTTGGGGCATCAGTATTGCTATTAAAAGTGCTATCCAATTTCTCCTCTTCTAAACAAACAGTGAAAATATAAAATGGCATGTGTGTTACTCGCTGTTTGGGGAGAGCTGAACTGTAAGAATCAGAACAAATATTTTCAACT